TGCGGTTCCGATGTCAGAAAAAAAAAAACCAGCGGAGCAGACCATTCCCGGGGCCGCGAGGCGACCGCCACGTTGAGAACCTCTAGAGATTAATGGGCCATCATAGGCCTTTTGGATGCAGCAATTGCGATGTAGAAAGGTTCAGTCCGTGCCCTCCACGCCTGTCTTGGTTCAGTCCGTGCCCTCCGCGCCTGTCTTGGTTCAGTCCGTGCCCTCCGCGCCTGTCTTGGTTCAGTCCGTGCCCTCCGCGTCTGTCTTGGTTCAGTCCGTGCCTTCCGCGTCTGTCTTGGTTCAGTCCGTGCCCCAGCAGGTCACGTTTCCTGAACCACGGGCCAAATGATAACCGTTCTATTTTTGAACTGTTACCACATGAATGTGCAAGTGCCCGAAGGCTTGGAAAACATGACCCGCCGCTGCTCCTTGGGTCAGCTTGAGGAACACAGGCCCTAAGTCAGCATCTGCAAGTCAGAGTTTTGTGGAGCGTTGCTTTAAATCTTGAGCATGGCAGCCCAGCATGGTGACTCAGTGTGGTGAAGCCGATTGAGGACACGTCTGCTGCGATTTCCCCCCTGTGGTTGCAGCGGCCTCCGGTCACTCACATTTGACGAGTCCGCATTTCAGCGTTAAAAATCATTTTTCCACTGGCTGGGGGTTGTGCAAGTCATTCTGGCACTTGTCAGGCATGCCGGGCTACGTGACTCACACAGGGAGTGCCTGCGATAGCAGATTACACTGTGTGCACAAGAGGAGCTCAAAGGGTTGAATGAATGCCGCATTTGCGGAGCTGGAAGAGAACCTGCAGTGAGTCTTGTGCTGCCCTCAGCTTCTGCTCATGCTAGTTTCTTGGCTGCCATACTCTGAGTAGCCAATGCCGAGCAATTCTGCAAATAAGGTGTTCTGACTTCCCTTGCTACCTGCTTGTTCTGGGGCCGTGACTGAGCTCGGCAGTGTGCATCCTCTGCTGGCTCTCGGTGTCTGAGAGGTGTGCGGACTGACACCATGCTGAGATAAAATCAGTTCTCGGAGAAGGGGAGCCGTTGGTTTGTAGGGTTGAATAGCGATAGAGGGCAGTCTTGGACATTTTGTTTGGCGCGCTCTGTCCCATTGTGAGATCTTCCCGCACTTTCTCAGACGCAACAAAAATAGGAATTGGAAAGATAGGAGCGTCTAATGGAAGATTTCCCCTTCCTGCTGTCCTGGTGACTGCTCAGACTTTAGAGATCCTTTAATGGTCAGCTCACTGGAGGGTACATGGAGGACCTCAAAGCAGGCTGGGAGGTAAGATCTTCCTTAATGGTCAGCTCAGTGGGGAGAGTACATGGTGGACCTCAAAGCAAGCTGGAGGTGTGGAAGAGATTCTTTATGGTCAGCTCACTAGAGAGTTCATGGAGGACCTCAGCAGGCTGGGGAGGTACGGAAGTTATTTGTTAATGGTCATCTTACTGGAGAGTAGTACATGGTGGACCTCAGAGCGGGTCAGAGATGAGGAAGGGACTTGTTAATGGACAGCTCACTAGAGCGTTCATGGAGGACCTCAGAGCAGGTCAGAGAGGAGGAAGGGACTCCGTTAATGGTCAGCTCAGTGGGGGGAGTTCATGGAGGACCTCAGAGCAGGTCAGAGAGGAGGAAGGGACTCCGTTAATGGTCAGCTCAGTGGGGGGAGTTCATGGAGGACCTCAGAGCAGGTCAGAGAGGAGGAAGGGACTCCGTTAATGGTCAGCTCAGTGGGGGGAGTTCATGGTGGACCTCAGAGCAGGCTGGCGAGTTGTGAAAGATATTCCTTAATGGTCATCTTACTGGAGAGTAGTACATGTGGACCTGAGAGCATGTCAGAAGAGGAAGGGACTCCTTATTGGTCAGCTCAGCAGCCGAGTACATGGAGGACCTCAGAACGGATCAGAGATGAGGAAGGGACTTAACGGTCAGCTCACTAGAGCGTTATGGAGGACCTCAGAGCGGAGGCAAGGCCTCTTTATTGGTCTGCTCAGTGGAGAGTACATGGAGGACCTCAGAGCGGGTCAGAGATGAGGAAGGCACTCCGTTAATGGTCAGCTCAGTGGGGCATTACATGGAGGACCTTGGTGCAGGTCAGAGAAGAGGAAGGGACTCTTTATTGGTCAGCTCAGTGGAGAGTACAAGGAGGAACTCGGAGAAGAGGAAGGGACTCTTGAGAAGTTAATTTCCAGAGTAGTAAGAAGATTCCAGAAGACTACACCTGGACCTTGTATGAGGACAATCTCTGCTGGTCCCGGAGTCTGAGGAGGATTAGAAGCGTTGGGACGGGTCAGGCGGCTCTGGTGGGATATTTTTCAGGCGTCTTCGTCGCTTTCCCCGGAGTTCCACTTTTTCCGTACGTTGGCTTGGAGCCGTTGAAGCTTTTCTCCTTCGACACCCCGGGACACCAGCAGAAAAATGTGCTTGTAATTGTTTAGAAAGCTTTTGTTACATGAAATGACTCATTGAGCGGAGAATTCCATGAGTCCTGGCTCGGTTCCAGCGGGTGATTCATCCCCAGAGATGGCCAATCACATCCCTCCGTGCCGCGTATTCCGGCTTTCCAGAGCTCTCTATGAAGAGGAGCTGAAGTCATTAGATCGGCGGGAGGCCGCGGTGGAGTCGTCTCGGTGACTACAAGGAAGCGTTAAAAGAGCGTTCCTCTGGCTGCCGACGGTGTAACGCTCTTCACGGTGCCTCACCGAGCTCATACATGACAAAGTGGACCTGCCATTCACACGTCTCATGAACCAATCAGTATTTCTAATGAATGGAGGGTGGGGAGCTGCTCCCCTCTTTCTCAGCCTTTGGTCACAAGGTCTCGGGTCTACCAGAAGCATTGCGGCTGTTTCATGTCATTAGAGACCACAGAGAGTCTGTTGTCTGTGCCCCGGTGAAGCTTTGCGCCTCATTTCGGGGTATGATGGGACCGGTATTCCCGGAATAACCTGATGCCGAATTCCGCTGAGGGACTTTCTAATGACGTCTCATCTCTATGAAGATCAGACGGGGGGGGGGAAACCAGAAGAACTTCCCGTGTCTTGGCTTCCCCATGTCCAACCAACTCTAAACTTTGCCGGGCCTGTTCATTGGTCTGTGGTGTGATACCGCAGTATGTTGTACGGTGCAGTAGTCCATTCCGGACTGGTCCTAGTTGGTCAACGCCGATCATCGCAACCTGCAGATGGATCACATTGAGAGTCTCCGTCATTCCCATTTACTGACCTGTTGATCCTGCCAATTCTGCACTTATCTCATTACTTCCTGTTGAGGGCTGACAATGTCCTGCTACCGCTCCTGAATTAGCAGTGATGTCGGCCCTCTGATCCGTCCCCTCCCCGTTCATCCCGCCCTTTAGTGGGTCCCTGAAGAACGGTGATGTAGAAGATTGGGAACCTTCCAATAGGGGGG